TGTAACCTTAATTCCATGAGTATTGAACAAGATGCTGTATGGTTTTCCATATTCTTCCTTTGTTTCTGCTATGACTACCTTCATTGGAAAGTCTGAGTTGTGATGAGCAAGCACTTTTGAGGCATCAGTGACACACGATGGCAAGATATGAGACTTATAATACATTATAACTATGGGAAATATAATCCATTGTAAATTAAGTGGATGCATTGTGTTCACTGTGTATTATCATCATACTCTTAAAAACTATAACTACAAATAAGTAAATATTATAATGCATTAAAACTGTTGTTATGATTAATCATGAGATTATACAACTTATTAAAAGTAGTTCCCTTTCAGTCAGTCACGTTCGACGTTACGTCAGTCGTGACTGACGAATTGGGATCTCGCCCGAGAGCCCATAGGAACTGCACTACATGCAGACATAACACACACAATGAAAAACGATGGATCAGCACAGGATTACAGACACCAGGAGAATAAATAGGAAACCAAATGAGGAGGCTAGCGAGGGAGACACAGGTGGAGCAACTTAAACAATAATGAGGTAACAAGATGGGCGGGGCAAGACAATAGACAGGAGAGAGCACATGGCAACAAACAAACACAACACAAGCCATGTGCTCACAGAACACAGTGTCATCTGGTCGCCATCCTGGGCACACCCGCTGAAGACTGTGACACAGTATATCCTATATGGCTCTTAAGACACACTGCATATAAAAGATCAATGTTATGTCATTTTATGTTTGACTCAAGAGACAAATGTCGCCCATGTATGTAACCTTAATTCCATGAGTATTGAACAAGATGCTGTATGGTTTTCCATATTCTTCCTTTGTTTCTGCTATGACTACCTTCATTGGAAAGTCTGAGTTGTGATGAGCAAGCACTTTTGAGGCATCAGTGACACACGATGGCAAGATATGAGACTTATAATACATTATAACTATGGGAAATATAATCCATTGTAAATTAAGTGGATGCAACGTGTTCATTGTGTTATAAATCATTATACTATTAAAAGCTATAACCACAAGTAAGTAAGTACGTTAAAACTGTTCTTATGCTTGTTTATGAGATGATACAACATATTATAACATATTTTTTATAATGCATTATTAATTCATTATAATGTCCTAAGAATACCCTTGTAATGTATCATAAACATCACTGAGTTTTGTTAGGAAAACAGCTGATCACTTAATCAATCAATGTGCTTACAATTAAACATTCATTTTGGAGTGAGTTATATTTTGACATTACAACAAAACAAATGCTGTTTTATCAAAAAAGTCACCGAGAATTGTTTTTATTTTTATTTTATTTTTATGGTGTCTGCAAACAATGATTGACTGTAGTAAATCCTAATGCCATCTATTTTGGCTAGTAGAATTTCTCAATGGCCGGTCTCTTAAAAATGTAGCAGCCAAATTGGTTGGTGATTGAAAAAGTTAATTACGATGATTATTGTCATTGCCCAATTGTTAAGAGTTGGGCTTGGTAACTTATGGGTTACAGGTTTGACATGTCAACTTTTGACTCAACCCATGGTGTGATTTGAAGGGGGACCACAAGTATATCTTTCCAGTGGCTAACCGGTTGGGACATCCTTCAGGGAACGAGGGTTACACAAGTAACCGAGACGTTTTTTTCATAATACATTATACACTCATTATAATGCTTTAAGAATACCCTTATGATGTATTATATATACAGGCTTCATAGAAAGTGTTTTTTCTTTCAGCGGATGCATATGATTTCCTGTCAAAAAAGTAATTACCTTGACAGATATTTTATCATAATATTTTATAATAAAACCTTAGACATTTCTAATGATTTATAGTTATAGGCCCCCTGGTGCAAATTGTGCTTGCACTCTAATTGTCTTTGTTTGCATTTCAATAAAATTTGCAGTATAACTCATCACATTTGTGCCATTTTTAAAGCATCATAATTTTGTGTTGTTTCCAAGAACAAAAGCCAGAATCACCCTATAATCTAGGATGTTTTTTTTTTTTTTTCTCGTCACCTTAGCCTTTTCTCTAGGTGGCTGTTCAGCCTGGATACATACATTCAATAGCTAACAAAATTAAAAATAAAATGTATCTTCTATTAATGTATTAATATGATGTGAGGTCCCGTTACCCGCACGACACTAAAACTTGAACACATTTCCTCACATGCAAATTTAACTGGAGAAACTGCACACATGGTCTGGTGAGAGAAAGAAAGAAAGAAAGAAAGGGAGACTTTTTGCTCATTGCCTCAAGATTGACATATAAGGTTTCAATGACATGGAGAGAGATAGGGGGAATGCTGATTTTCATTCCTTTCTCGGAAATGCTCACTGGTATCTGTCTTCAAGTGCTAGTGTAGTAAACACCAGTCTACTTCAGTTACATACACAGAGAAAAGGAACTCTTACAAAAATAAAAATAAAAAAAGAAGAAGTTTATTCAAGTGTGCTATTAGTTTAATCATTTTAAACTAAAAATAAGAAAGTATATTTTCAGAATAATTAGAGATATACTTAATATTATACTTACTTAAGTATGGTTGGCTTATATTGACAAGTGTACAGAAAAGGCTGTATATTTGGCCTACAATTGTACTTTATCTTTTGATCGAGATATACTTAAAATACATATGCTAAGTATACTTGGCTTGTAGTTGTGTTTACTCTTTTGATGGAGTGGCCTATTAAATACTTTTTCACACATATTGGCTTCTATGAAGTAGCATTGTGTGATGGCAATATGTGATGGCTGTGAGGATTTAACTTTTAGCTTTTGTTGAGTAAATGAGAAATGTGGACTGGTGATTGGAAGATGAGTGTTATTTGCTTTACCTTCACTTATTTGTTTCATCTGAAAATGAATATACATATTCCTAATTGGGTGGTGAGGTGGCTCAGTGGGTATCACTATCACCTCACAACAAGAAGACCGCTGGTTTGAGTCCTGGCTGAATCAAGAATCCTTTCTTTGTGTAATCTTTGTGGGTTTCAGCCAGATCCTCCAGAAATGGTATCTATTCATTAATATTGTAACAGTATTCCATACAGTACTACAATAAAATTATTTCAAAATAGTGGCAACTCATGCCTGACCTTGCGCAAATTATCATATCAGTCAAGACCAGCTGACTGTGTGTCTGAATTCAAGAAAACATATGGAACTGCTCAGTAACAGTCACGTTTATGTATATAGTGCTTTATACAATATAGATTGTTTCAAAGCAGCTTCACAGAAATAAAGAATAAAATAAGTGTTAATCTTGCAGAATTTATCAATTATGAAACAACTTTAATTCCAGTTAATTCTGTTTAGTTGAATGTTGATTAAATTCAGTTCAATAGTAGTGATGCTGTAAAGTTTATCAGCTATGAAACAAATTCATTTCAGCTATAAGCAGCTCTACAGAAGGCAACAGGGTCATTATTCAGCTCAAGTTTGTTCAGTTTTGATTCAATTCAGTTCAGTAACAGTGTGTTGCAAAGTTTATAAATCATAAAAGAAAATTTAATTCAGCAATAAATCATCTCGACAGAAGACATTAGTGTCATTATTCAGCTCAATTTAGCTCAGTATTGATTCAGTTCAATAACTGTGTCAGTGTTGCAAGGAAAACAAAAGCTAAAAACCAGGTTCAGTCGAAGGCCAGTTCTTCTCTGCCCTAAATTAACAAACACAATATAAATTATTATTTCAGGCTGTATCAACTTATCAACACCCATCGTCAGATTTTGTGGACTGACATTATTCAAAATTCTGCATTCAGCTCATTCCGCTTGGAGAAGTTACTTGCAGGTAAAACTTACCCACAGTTAATTTTCACTGATACAGTAGGTGTGGGCGGAACAGAGAGCAGGCACAAGCCCGTGAAACTTCCACCAATGAACCATAATAAACTGAAGTGTGTGGCTGTGTGCAGGGATATAGTGGCACAAAATGCTCCTTGTATTGCTTATGTCAGGTTGAGAATTATTATTGTTTCTATAGATAAATATAGTCAAGTACTGCTTTTGTATTGTGGCTAGTCTATAATGACCTTTGAATAACAGTCAAAGTTAATGTATTTCTTTTACTCATGTGCCTCAAAAACATTTGGAGTTATCTAGAAAAAATGGGACTACAGCCGCTTCAGCCCAGATTTAGTGATGCCTCTGATTGCACATTTTACCTCTGTAATCTGATGCATTTCTGAGTGCAACAGGACATTTTATGACCATTGGTTACTTTTAGATTTTATTTTATCTATGAGGGATTGATTGGATCATGAAAAGCTGGCAGAGTGAGTACTCGCACTGTGTCTGTGTTACATATATTGGTATATCTGCTTTGGAATGATTTGGAACAGTGAATCCTTTCAGCTGTATCACATAGCGAGCTACATAAGAGATTTTGACCATCTCGCTCATATAGAGTCCCAGGTGAAAAAGACGTAGTATTAAAAATATACTTGAAATTGAAGTAGCATGTTTATAATACATTTGTATTCCCAACAAACTTATTTGAAGTGCAATAAAAATATATTGAATTGTGATCGTGTCTCTTTAGGGCACTTGGAGGAATCCACTCAATTCATATGGATTACTTTGGCGATGTTTTTTTGCGATTTCAACTTTTTGAACATCTTTGGTGAATCTTCTTTCATCGGAGGGACATAAATCTCTCAGATTTTTATTAAAATATCTCAAAATAAAATAAAATTAGTCATTATAACATGTAACTTACAACATTTACATTCTTTTATTTGCAAAATGAAGTTGTGTATTTATTTAGTTATGATTTCCTGAACAATTTGGCTTCATTGTAATGAGGTTAATGATCTTTGAAAAACCATGATTATGAACATACAATTACTTTGTCTTGAGCTGATTAGCCAACTGTGGTAGTGTTCGTTGATTGGTGTTTATATTTGTTCAAGCTTGACAACCTTATCGCGTTTATTTTCTAATGTATATTTCTCATTAGAGATAAGAACAAAGATTACATTGTAAGAAGGGTTGCTTATATGAGAGCATACAGTACATCTGAAACTGCTGAGGCTGGGAAGGTTTTTGACTATATTACCGACCAGGTACATTGTTCTCAGCGTACTGTCATTCTTAAAAAGAAAACAAATCATCAATCATCATTTGCTTTTGTGTGTGTGAGTGAAATATAAAAATTTGTTGTTTTTCAGATCAGCTGCTATAAAAGACAAACTGAAATCTGAGTGCAGAGACAAGCAAAGGAATAGTAAGTATATTTTCATGTTGTATCACCTGTTATAGAGATTTTTGAATCATGCCTGAGGGTGATTTGGTCAATCTTGGAAGAAAAACATTAGCAATGTGTCCATTCGAGCTGGCTAATTTGTGCTTGCTTTCAGTCATTCATGTAAGAATCTGTTATTTAATTTTGTTTCTGTTTAGTTTTTTTTTCTAAAGCTGCAAGGCTCTGGTGCAAAATATTGTATGCCAGGAGTCAGGACGACTAGGCTGTGCCCAGGTCTCCGGAACCTGCGACGACGCTCAGCTCCATCAGCCCTCCATACATTTAATAGTATGTTTTGTTTTGTTTTTCACCAAAGTATATATGCTGCTGTCCTTTTTTAGTGTACTTTATGAATATTTGTAATGTACACAACAATATATAATACATTAAAGTTTTCTAGATATCAAAGTGTGTACGTGTGTGTATATAATGAAAAAAGTAGCTTTATAATATACTAGTAGTGTAATGCTAATGCATTTCCAATGAGCTGAAATACAATTGAAATGTACTTGAAGTACATTAAAACGATGCTTCAAATATACGCTAACTGTAGTTCATGAAGTATTAAAAGGACATTTTAAATGTATTTTAAGAAATACACTTAAATTGCACTAAATATACTTAAAGTGGTTCGAATTTAACACAATTTCAATATATTAAATATATTACAAATAGATTAAAATCAAACTTAAACATATCTTGAAATACACTTAATATACTTAAAGTTGTTTCAAAATAATACATTTAATATGCACTTAGTATAGTATAATTTAAATATAATAAGTATGTCTGAAAAAGTACAATTTAAATATATTTCTTTTTCACCTGGGGTAGCAGTAATATTAAATCAGATCATTTAATCAGATGCCTATAAAAGTGGGTGAGTTCATTGGTAGCCCTAAAGAGTGCTTCTGTCGTCAGGCCCAAAGGCTCAACGTCATGCTTGTTCACCCCATCTGTTGGTGATGTTTAGAGGACAGATGGCATCAGAGAGAGAGAGAGAAAGAGGGTAATTACACACTAATAACAGCTCTCATTCAAGCAGTGTCTAAAATGAAACAAGCACCCTTTTTAATCCAAGCTTTCTAAAAATACAAATTTCACTTGCAGGATTTAAGCCTGAGATTGCTTTTCTGTAACACCTATAGTGCCCAATGAACTACCTCTGGAGACCCAAATCAATGTGTTTTACGAATTTCTCTGTGAACTTATTATTTATTATCTTAAAATCTGCAGACGGCAGTCAACAGTCACAGATTCAGCCTGTTTGCAATTAAAGGATAAAGCAGGTGTTAAAGTTGTGTAATGCAGTTACCTCTCTCTCTCACTCTCTTTTCTCCAAAGGGGATAGTATAAAGAAGAAAAAGTTTAAATTAAGAGTTGGATGCAAACCAGGAACTGCAAATTTGTTCCGTGTGATTAAGATAGCCAAAGGCCAAGATGAATAAGATTGAGATGATCTAACCACACACTGATACAGCATGCTCTCATTAAAAAAAAAATAAATAAAAAAAAACACACACACACAAGCAGTTTAAAAACATAATTAAGGCACCATGATACAACAAATTGCGCTTTATGATAGAATGGGTGCCAATAAGGACTTTGATGATTAGAACAGTGAGAATTACTCCAACATTTCCTTCTTGCATAAGTTGTTTTTATATAAACATAAATCTGAATAAACCTTCCATTACCTGCATTTAACTTTTACAAACAACAACAACAACAACTCATGTTCTTCCTGTTTCTTCATGTTCTCCGTCTAGTTGTTGACAGCTAGCTATGTAGAAGTCTTTGTGAAGTACGAGAATAAATTTAATTGTATGTTGCCTAATTGGGGCCTTACTTGTCCTATCCCTGAAGCCCATCTCTATACCTACCCCTGTTCCAAACTATATTTAACCTGCTCATTAGTAAAGGTATCCTCAAAGGTCCTGGATGGTATCCATGGTCTTAAGCATGGTAACAATATGAGCTGCACGCATTGACAAATTCTCAAACACACTGACAGTGCAATCCCTGTATGGGATTGGTAATTGTTAACATATTTCCAAATAAATTTATAAAACATGTCTTTATTAAACAAAAAAATGATTGTCTTTGGGAGAAAATTACTTTTGGTCTTCATACTTATTTTCATATCGAAACAACATAATTTAAATTACATCCAGTTTATTAGTGACAAAGCTCATTAGTGTTAATCACATGATCACTGCCTTTGATCTTGAATGTGGCCGATCTACTACGAGAACAGACATGAGCATATTGTAACATCTGATCAGGCTTCCATCCTTCAGAGGGAGCCCTCACATGAATATTGAACTCTGTTACTTCCTGTTCCTGCCACATCAGTTCCTGTCTTGTCATTTCCTTTTAACATGTATTTAAGCCATATTGTTCCCACTGCCATTTTGCAAAGTATTGCCAGTTCCGCTGCCTTACTAACATTCTTCCGTGCCGTAATGTTTATTGTTATGACCATTGATTTTGTTCTTCTGACTCACGTCTCTGGATTAAAGTTGTGGATTTGTCTGCCATTGGATTGTTTTCCCTGTGTACTGACCCAAGCCTGTGACCTGACTAAGAGCTGTGACTATTGTTTAGACTTGAAGCACATATCCTTGAATAAAGACCCGCATATGGAATCCACTCGGCCTACCTCTTCCTTATAAATATAGAGTGCATGGTACAGACAAAACGTCATAACCCAAAAGAGTAATTCACCCCTGGTTCCTTCTAGATTTTCTTATGGGGTTTATAATCGTTTTTTTTTCAATTTATGAGTAAAAAGCCTGTGGTAAACAAAACTGGATGGTACTTTAACATTTTGTTCTAACATAAACTGCACACACTGATACCCCAGACTGTCTTATCAAGTTACTTATTAGAAGCATACGTTTTCAAAAAAAAAAAACATAATTCACACTTTCCGTATTGGTGTGTGCACTTTACGTTGTAAAACAAAACATCAAAGTATTGTCTAGTTATGTTTACCACAGGCTTCATTTTACTCATAAATTCAACATTCAAACTAACTTTTTTAACTTCAATTGATCATCTCAGCGTTCTAAAGTGACATTTGCAAATTAGTATCGGAGGCTTGTGCTCATCTGTTAAACTGTCAACTTGAGATTTGAATCCATGGAGGAAGGAAGTAGGACACCCCGTTCTTGTTTCTTATTTATTTACACACTTGTACTGTTGAACTATTGTATAAACGCAATATCAAACTCATAGTCATGCGATATGGCTGTATATCAGCATGGCAGCATTACCTCATATGTTGTTTCCAATTCAGTTCTATACTTTCTCATGAAGAACATGCTGTTACATATAAGAGTCATGTTTCCTCTTGAAGCTAAGTCCCCCAGCTCAAAACTCTCTGTGGATGCGGTATGAATTATGGATGAACAAACATTTAAACAACAGAGCAATGTCCCATAATAGAAGACAGTAGAGAGTTCTCCACCCTGTAAGGTTATGTACTTTTACCAGAAACATTTTCTTTTGTATTCGCTCCATCCCTGTCTCTCCGTCCACCTGTATGCATTTTTAATGTTGTTGGGAGAGTAAGAGACCTCTGCTGGTGCATAGTTCTACTCGCTCTACAGTAAAAAGTCCTTACTGAAATCAGTAATGACTATATTGTATGCGTCCTAGAGAACTATAAGTAATTTTTACAGTTTCATAATGTGAAACTAATCAATAACTAGTGGATGACAATTTTATCTTTTTTATTTTTAATTTCATTAACTTTAAGCATCGTTTTTTATTTTTACTTTAACATTTAACAACTTACAGAATCAATAGGTAATAAAATGTTAATAATGAGTAAATTTTAATTAGTCTTCTTACAGAACTGAATTAGATAACTGAATTCTTCTTACTGAAGAAATAAATATTTAATTACAGGGTTTTTTTTTTTTTGGTTTGTTTGGGTTTTTTTTTTGGATACTGTGGTCAATTTTCCGGCATCCTTCTGAACTTTACACAGTATTCTGTATTTACACATTCTTACACATTATTATTAATACTTAAATAAAGAGGACACAGCTTACATCCACACTTCTCACTGAATCAGTAACTGAGAGTCATGGAGACAAAAAAAAAAAGTGACCTATAAAATGATGAATAGCTAGACAATTTAAGATTGTGTTTTCATTAATACTTACTGTAAGCATGACGGTAAGCCACTAGTAGTGACTCAAGTGTTACAAAATCCATCAGAAATAATTACTATCCAAAAACCTTACAAAAAGCTCAAAAGCTTACAATGACTTCAACCATTACTAGGGAGTAATCATGCTTTTCACTTTAAAATACTGTTACAAATAATTAGTAATTCCTTCTGATAGATTTGGTAATACTTGAGTAATTACTAGTAGGTTACAATGACCTTCACGTTAGAATGAATTATGCACTAAGCATTGTTTACATTCATTTTGAAACAGTAGTGTCTTAGTAGTTCTCTGATAGGTACAAAAAATAGTTGTTACTGATTAGCTAGCAGTGAACCAATGCATTCAACTGAGTGAGTATTACTTACTAATTTGTTAATTGTATTTTGTTGTAAGTTAATAGTAGTTACTAAAATTTAAATATTGTATTACTCGTTTGCTCCTGTGTAATTATTCATTAATTATGGAACAGTATTCTAACATGTTACCCATAAATCATTTCATTGGTGAAATAATTTGGTATTTTGTGCAAGTCTGTTTGTTTTACTTTTCTATTGTCTCATACTGCTTTTCAGATGTCCATTTGTATAAACAACACTGTAAATACTACTCCACCTTCTATCTGGCATTAACAGAACCCAAGACTTTTTGGTCATTTGGTACCCAATTTAAACTCAAATCTCAGAGGAGTCAGTGCCTCAGGCAATGAGTCATAGCATCTTACTGGACTAACTAAGTAGATCTCATACATCTGTAATAGTCAGGCAATTAACCTTTAATCCATTTCACCAAGGGGAAAATAAAAGGAGCAGCCTATGGAACAGGTTCCCAATGGAAACTCTCTTACAAGATACATTGAAGGTCTATATCCTTTCATACCAGTTCTGTGTTTCAAAATAATCCTCATCTTAATGTATACTGTTTTTTTTTTTCAGTTTATTTCAGTTTACTTGATTTTATAGTGAACGTTTATGGGGGGAAGATTAAACGGATATCAATGGCCCTGATCACAGAGGTGGCCTGACACAATCATGATTTCTGTCTATTTCTTTCTACAAACTTCTGAGACCAAAGAATGCATTTAAGATGCA